TATATATATATATATATATATATATATAAATGTATTACAAAACATTAATTGATACATTTTATACCAGCCTAAGCTTTTGCCTTCTCAATATTCTAATTTCATGCAACTACTAAAAATAATAAGATGTGTATTTAAAGGTTGGTTAGTTAGTACAGTTGGTTAAACTGAAGTCTTACCTGATCTGTGCGTGCCTCACCGACGCTTTGAACATTCTGAAACCGACAGAGTAAATGTGACTGACGTAGAGCACGTATACAGCGTGCGCGCCCCCGTGTGGAGGCTTTACGCTGCTGTAACATATTCTACACAAACAATCAGAGACAGCGATTCAGCCACTGATAAGTGTGTGTGTGTGATGACTGAGATGAATGTAGTCTCTTGAAATCTCTGTAGGATCAGGATGATCTTCAGCACACATGAGTGTCATCATTAATCACAAAACACAATCAAACACTATGGGGTAGAATTGTTGCATTATTCCAAACAAATAGATTATGATCCACAAATAAATGTAAATATGTTTCTTATAATCTCTTTACATTTATTTGGAATAATGCAACAATTCTACCCCCATAGGATCTGGCATCCGGGGCTGGATCGGATATTTCTGGCATAGACGCACTATCAGGTGAAATACAATTTATTAAACTTTAATGAACTTTAATAAATAAAAAATGCAAAGCCCCAAAATCAAATAGCTTCCAGAACTAAAATTATGACATTATTCTTAATACAAGCAGAATCAGCAGGAAAAAAATGGACAATAACAATAAGCTGTTGATACAATGTGTAAGGAATTGAATCAATCATTACTCGAAACAAATACAAGAACCTTTACTGATTTACAAGACAGGCTGGTAAATTTTCTCAAGTCACCAGCCTCTGGCAGCTGTGGCAAAAAGTTAATTTTAGGCTCTGCTTGCAAGTGTAGAAATTAGGACAAAAGCAATTTCCCTACTTTAGAGTGAGGTAAAATAATATACATGTGAAATACTCATTTTCGTTTATTTCACAGTGCAATTGACAGTTCACAGGGAGCTTGATTGACAGGCGATCTGACCAATCAGAATGCAGATATTATGTGCCGCCACTGCTATCTGCCATCTTGCCCGACAGCTACATAGAAATCCATGTTAAAACGGGGTAAAAAGGATGGACTGAATTGAAACTTTTTCAATATAACTAAATATAAAAATGTGCGGAGGGTTAAGCTATGCTGTTGTTGGCTGCCACAGTAATGGCAATAAGCTAAAGGAATTCCTTAAAAGTACTTGTTTTGCGTACCAGAAAACCTGTCATGTCCGGTGCTGTATGCATGGCTTACAGGGTGATATGGCTGCCAGAAGTAGAAATAGTATTATGTAATTGTGACTTTATTATTTTAAAACTTAATTAAGTGTAATTTTAACAAATCAGTACATTTTAACCTTCAATATTATTAGGGATGCACCGAAATGAAAATTCTTGGCCGAAGCCGAACAAAAAGGAAACACTGGGCCATATACCGAACATGGTTTTTCACATTTTCCCCCCATGTAGGCCTATTTTGACAATTTTTGAGACTTGAATCAGGCATGTATTTTTTACTGTACAAATAAAGGCAGTCTTGCTGAGCAGAAGATAATTATTTTAAAACATTAGAATATATTACAGATCCCAATTTGAACACTATATGTGAATGTTATAATAAATGTATTAATAGAGCTGTTATAGGGTAATTATTATTATTATTATTGTCTTACTTTTTATTTTATTTTACAGAACGACAGTAAAATTACAATACTATCATTTATGAATGTCTATGGAGTTGTTGCTTTTGCTTGGCTTTTATTTTGGCAGAAACCTGCAGGAAGAGCTCAGTGCTTCTTTTTGTTGACAAGAGCATGCAGATTTATAAATGATTCTCATTATGAATTTGGGAAGATGTTTGTCTCATGTATCACATTGTCACATGCCTTTAAAAAAAATTCACAAAAATGTTACTGAGCAACTGACGAGTAACACAGTTTCAGCCCAGATTTTGAACCCTGGAGCTGCAAGCTCATGCAGCGCTGTCAGAATACACACTAACTAACGTTAAAAAAGTGAAATCGCAATCAACCACCCCTTTAATTCAGAAACGAAGGAAGTGACTCGCTGCTTTCGAAACCGCATACTTCCCTACTATATAGTACGCAAAAACGAAGTAGGCGAGTGAATAAGTATGTTTGAATCCTCAGTATTCATAAAAGAGTACACTCTTAATAATAAAGGTGCTTAAAGGGGTGGTTGATTGCTATTTCATTTTTTTAACGTTAGTTAGTGTGTAATGTTGCTGGTTGAGCATAAACAATATCTGCAAAGTTGCAGCGCTGAAAGTTCAATGCAAATGGAGATATCGTCTTTTAAAATTCTGGCAGATTAATGCCTACAAAAACGGCTGGGAAGGGACTACAATGAGTTACTTCCCAGGTCTGTTATTCACAAACCCAGATAAACCCCGCCCCCGGGAACACGCAACAAAGGGGGCGAGGCCATGCTGCACTGCTTTAGAGAAGAGGAAGAGAAAACTAGGGGTGCACGTAAAAATCTGTTCATATATGAATCGCGATTCTGTCTTCTAGCGATTCTAATGGATTCACAAGTTTCAAAACCAATGGTCTAAAGCAGCGGTTTTCATCCTGTTCCTCGCATCACCCTGCTCTGCATCTCTCTCTCATTCAGATCGTCAGATCAGCTCCAACAAACTGTTCCATTTATACACTTACTTTCACATAGCTATGAGAAGTGTTATACATGGACGTGCATACGGTTACTGTGCTGTATTAAAGCTTTAATCAGAATAAAACCGTATATTAAAAGCTAACAGAAGCAGTAGCATTTACAAACAACAGCGTATCTAAAAGTATGGGACAACAACAAACAAGCATAGCATTAACAGCCGTGCTTGCACAGGTTCTGCTCGATCCTCTTCATTAATATTATCTGCGTCTCAATCTGGCTCAAATTGATAAGCAATATAGAGGATGTCATTGTTTACAATACAACCAGAGCACATTCTGAGCTTGAGGGGCGGGATGTTCAGACGTGCTCTAGAGGCGGTTTAGCGAATCACAACACACTGAGCCAGCTGACCAATCTCAGCCCATCGCGTATTTCTGAGGGAGGGGCTTCATAAAAACAGGAAATAATCGAGGTGTTTGTTAGAGAAGGGACAGATTGGTGTGGAACAAAGGAAAATTATGTGAAAAATAATGCGTTTTTTAAAAAACGAAGCATGAACACATGTTAGACTGCACCCCATAAACACAATGAAGCCTAGAAAAAAAACAGTCAACCACCCCTTTAAGATATTTTGAATGAAAACCGGGAGGCTTGTGACTGTCTCATTGACTGCCAAGTAAAATAACACTGTCAAGGTCCAGAAAAGTATGAAATACATCGTCAGAATAGTCCATCTGCCATCAGTGGTTCAACCGTAACATTATGCAGCAACGAGAATACTTTTTGTATGCGAAGAAAACAAAAATAACGACTTAACACAACAATTTGTCTCCTCTGTGTCTCTCCATCACCGTAGCACCATTTTGGAGAATATCCGCTGAACGCAAACTGCGTATGCTCTTCTGTGTCAGCTTACAGCGCGACTGATAGATAGATAGATAGACTTGCTACAGCCAATACATCCACAACGTGCTGCTGAGCATGTAGGAAATACTGCAAATAGCTTGGAATTTCTAA